ATTGCCTGTAATACGAACCTTCTATTTGAAAACTACCCAAATTTATTACAACAAAAAAGAAAAAAAATAAAACAATTATGTTTCGAGTGACAATGAAAAAATCAGTAATTTCGGTACTTTTTCGCCTAAACAAACATTTTAAGACTAAAATTGTCCTAATACTTAATTTATTTTTTAATGTACTTATTCGTGGAACTCCTTTGATTGAAATAAATGCAAGAAAAATGCTTTAGCGTTTTTTTCTGCGAGAGAACATACATATACTTTAATGTGAAAAAAATAGGGACACAACAATTTTGACTATTTTCCTTTATAATTAATACAATATAAATCAAATTTCAAACTATTGTAGAGAAATTAAAAAAATCATAATTTTTGGATAAATTCCAAATACACTGTATTGTAGCCCATTTAATTTTAGTTAAAATGTGCAAGTTTCTAGAGACTAGTGGTGATTAGCTTTATTTTCAAAATGATTCTGGCAACACTGTTATGAAACTCGAAAATAAAATCTGGGTACGTATGGAATAGTAGTTTATGTCGCGAACCTGGATTTAGTATAATGCGGCATTCCCTTTATTCTTTAACGACAGGAATCTTTTGATGGGACTTAATAAGAAAATTGATTTGGTATCGGAACTATTTCTTACACGTTTATTCGCCAAAAGCCAGCCTTTCGATATAAGCTACTATTCCATACAAACACAGAAATATTTTCGTACTATGCCGACGGCTTTGCGTTTTCGTAAAAATTCCTACATGGCAACACTTAATAGCGATAGCCTGGGAATTTTTCGATACATTTTCATTTTTCTGAAGTTCATAGCAGCGACAGCGAGCAGCCAAGCATCAATTGTAATTGCATTTTAATGCAATTTACGCTTCCGTCCGTAACTCTGCCGCCCTCGTACAGTATTTCAAAAGCTCATAGCGATTTACGACGCCGCTCTTTATTTGCTACCATCTCACATCAACTTCACTAGCCATAAACGGCATCAGTCAGAATACTGAATCAGGTAAACACATATATACATATGTATATACAATTATATCATTGTGAAATATGTCCTATGTCCTTAATTTTACTTTTGCTCTTTTGTCAGATTAAAAGATAAAAATATTCATATTCCCCAATTCCCAAAGCATACGTTCAGTGCCACTGCCACGTAGCAGCGAACTTGTGCAGCAGCCAAAATCCAATGTCGAGTAATATCGTCAGCGACAGTGGATACTCGTTCGTGTTCATTGCTGGATGACTGCTACAAATGAAAAAAAATTAAACACGAATGACAGAGATATTCGGACGGACTTTGTTGCAATTGCCACTCCTCAACCCCTCGAATCAATCCCCGAGGATCAATTACTTTTAGCTGGAAATTCAATTTGAAAACATGTTTCGATTGCTTCTCCCAACAATTTCGTGGGCAAACACCCTCTCGACATCGCACAAATGCATAGCCATTTAACACTTGTGTCATGTATTTGTTTGCTGGGCTTAAACATAAATATGCTCATGCATATGTATCTACCTACATACATATCTACAAACAAAGGTGTGTGTTTTGCTGGATTCATTTGTTGTGTGCTGTTACAATCAAAATTGTTTGCAAATACAAATATTATTGCGTTACTTTGCTACATATGTATGTATGTATATGTCCGCATGATTAGTTTTAATAGATTTTATAAAAAATGGTTAAATAAAAAATCAAAAGTTAAAACAAAATTGCTACTTATGTACATGTATTGTAGCAAATAATATTTATTTCCGAAGCTATGTAAAAATACTATGAATTTACTATTTCATCTTCGTAAGTAAAAAGTTAATTAACCTCCAAGCTTATTCCGCAAACTTATCGTAAGTATGTATTTGTACATTTGTAAGTATGTATTAAGATATTTGCTTTGGTACCATCTGTTTATCTACATACTTATATATATATGTATGTATGTATGTATATCCATTTTCGTTGAACATTTACCTACGTTATTTACACACCAACACAATGAATGCATTTATCACGCAGCTGAATTATGAACGTAACAATGAGGAATACCAAATACACCCCTGATAATTTTTTGATGTAACCAAAGTTGGTGTTTATAAATATTTGATGAGGGCTCTGGCTTGTTATGCAATAGGCTATTTACATAACGACACTATAGGGAAGGAAGAGAAGTAGGCTTGGAAATGAAGCGATAATAAAGGTCTTCAAGTTTAAGCGAATAAAACAAAAAAAAAAACATCAAGATTGTCACTGCTTTTAAGGGTAGTTGCAGAGGAATATGTTAGTTCTATAAAATATTACTGTTTTAAAGTATTTAAACAAAGGGAGTCCATAAAAATATTTAAAATACCAATTATAATATTTATGTAGCAATAGCCGAAAATAGGAAAAACAAAGCTTAAAGCTTAAAGCCTAATAAAAATAAATTTGAGTTAAAAATAATATAAACATGAAATTTAATGTAGAGGAACTTTAATTTATTTCATTATTTTGCCAAATCATGGTTGCATATTTTAATCCAGACAATAAGCTTTGTACGTGCCAAATTTCATGGAATTCGGACCAGAAATACGATTCTTTCGAACCTCTTCAAAATTATTTAGCAAATTAAGCTCTCTTAAACCTTAATTCGTTTGAGAAATGTACTGCAATTTTTAATCGACCTTATTACTTATTGTAACTTTTTAGCTGATGACATCTGTTTTAAAAAATTTGCCCATTTTCCAATCCTTCTATCTGCGTGTAGAATTTTATACAAATCCGTTCACAAAGTTCAAACTCACAAAAAAAAAAATTCGAAACTATGGGCCAAATATAGTAAAACTGCGTTATTAGGTTTTCTCTCTGACGTCAGAATTTTTGAAAAAGGACTTTGCAGTTTAAAATTAATCATAATTCCAAAACTAATTTAAAAAAAATCAATGCAATATAAATAGAAGAACAATATGAGTACTAAACGAAAGGAAAATTCTGTTCACAAGAACGAAAAGATACCTAGTGAAAATGCCTAGTAAAGTTGGAAGGACGAGGATTTGGTCGAGTGTATGTTAGTCCTAAACATATAGTTTTTGCAAAAGTAAGTATTGCAAAATTTCAAAGATATTCAAGGATTACATTTTCAAACCGTACTCGTCCTTATGCACCAAAAGATTGAATCCGCTTTAATTCTACAGTGTTTTCTTATTATTTTTCTATATTGCAATGAATTTTTTAAATAGCAATAAGGTAATAAAATTTTTGTAAAAGAGTTAACTTCTTTTGCATTTTTATAATACATGCATAGAATACAATATTACCTCACAAAATGGCTCAAGATTGAACTACTTCAGAATTTGCTTCAAAACCGCCATATCTCAACAGATAGATAATATACTTACATATTGAAAATGCTTTGAGATAGAGCACTTTTGAAACAGTTACTGAAATAGGGCGTTATTCAACCGAATTCTGAAGGACTCTTTTCAAAATCGAAAATTATACTCATGCTCATACATACATATGTATGTATACTCGTAGTTGCGTATGTAACGTATACGCCCCGTAGCACCAAACGCGGTCATCTCGCACGCCTTAACCTAAAAGCCATATTATTTAAAAGCGATTAAATATTGGCGTCTAAGATTTTTACACACTATTTCTTCTACACATTTGTATAAATTACTTTCTTCATGTATATAACAACTTTATAATGAATTTCGAGTATGCCAATAAAAAGGAGAAATGGAATTATAGTTTCTCAAACTATAGTCATCTTTAACTCAATGTATGTTTTTTTTTCATTAACATTTTTATAATGGGAGCAGAAGTGGCCTAACCCACAATTTTTTTTTTTCTTGTAAAGGTCGATTATTACTACTTTAATGATACGTTATGTACCTCTGAAACTTAAAATTAAAGAATAAGCGACTTTGATTTTAAAATTTAAACCGTTATAATGACTTGAAATCGCTACTGTGTGTAGGTACATATATGTATATATATATCGTTATAAATTTTTTTCCCATGCAAACAACAAATATGTATAAGATTTTAGTTTCTTCCTGATCCTCCTTTTGATCTTCCGATCTTTTGCTATCAAAGTGAAAGATCGAATTCGGATTTCGTGCGTGTTGGCCATTGCATTAGCCCACAGCTCGTTGGTGCTTAGCCAGACGAAGTCCTTGGTACTATGTTAGGTCATCAGCGTTCATCTGCAACAATCTAAATATACGCTGTTCACTGGGTGATGAGCTTATTACTGGACGGAAAGGAACGCTAAATAAGATTGAAGCTTCAAGCTGAAAGTGGGGTTTAAAATTTTTAATGAGCGGGTTAAAAAAAAAGTCAAATTCCGCGACAATGGCTGTGTGCAGAAATGCATCAAGCCAAAGCATCAGTCTCTCTTACATATTTCTTAACTATAATTTATGGAAAGGCCTCATTTGCGCAACTAGGTTCCAATTCGGCATTTAACCGTGGTGGCGCATATTGGCCATTTCCGCCAATTATAGTTTAGAAATAGAAGAGAATTCAGCTTTGGCTTTATGTACATAAATATTTCTGAATTACTTTAAATTTAACGAATTTTCCTAAAAGGAGAAAGCCTCTGCTGATTCATTTCCTACAGTTGTTGTGTTGCATTGCCGACAGAGTGGCACAAAAAAGTATAATTTAGTTTAGCTTTGTTGCTAAATATATTTGCAAGTTTTTTCTGAAATAATTTTTGTGTATAACCACACTTACATATTTATGTGTTCTGGAAGATTTTTTTCAAATTTATTTAAGAGCGCTATAAGCGTAAATAACAATAGATATACATACACATATTTTCGAAATCCTACATACATACTTATTTATATTTACAATAAATAACTGAGCAAGGTCAATAGAACTCCATTTTTTGCGTTAAATGTAGATGCCTACTAATAATTTTGGATCAAGTCATTTATTTCATTTTAATATTAATTCGGCCATAATCACGATTTAATGATTTCCATAATCGTTCGCTTCAGCAGCATTCAATTCTTCGTAAAGTTCATTTGATTGATGATGATTTCCAAATCGGTTGTTGTTGGCATTGTTGTTTGTTGGAGTCAATGCTTGTACGCCGGCACGAATTTGCAGGGGATTGCGGAGTATATGCTGCAGCTGCATAAGACACCTAAGCAGCAAAAGAAGAACAGAACAGAAATGGGTTGTCATATGTATGTACATGAAAATCTCGATGTAATTTAATTCTCAAAAAAAAGAAAAGGAAAACAAAAAACACACACACCTTTCCAGCCTGCGATCACCGTCTTGTTGAACACCGAGCATTTCGGAAATATCGACACCACTGTGTGTGCTGAGTGCCCGCTTGCCATTGGTCCAACCGTGGGAGTATTGAAATGTTTGACCAAATGAAGTTGCCACGAAGCAAAGAACAACCAATGAAAGGAATAATTTGAGCATCGTGTTTATGCTGCAAGCAATATATCAATATATAGTTACATACGTACATAAATACAATAACTTAAAAGCATTTGTGTATGCAGACTGCTAAAAAAAAATTTTATTAGTTATAATTCCAAATTATGCACCAGGAACACCTAAATTGATACCTCGTCTCTGCAACTGCGACAAAAATCGTTGGTGGGGTATCCTAACGCTCTTCCGCGTTCTCACTAATGTGAGAGAGGAACGGTACAGCCGTGTGAGAGCTTTAGGTCGCCTTAAATCAATCTTTGGTCAAATTTTCTTGGTTGTATGGCAGGTGGTTGCCACAGCCCGCCTGGTATTTACCTTTTGTATAAGTTCAGCCTTTAATCTGTGTTTGGCGGAGGTTAGAAGTATGCCCGCATTCTGAGCTGAATTGACTTCAGTTATTTCCGTTCTCTCCTTGCCAGCTCGTTGGCTAGATAGTTGCCAAGATTGTCCCTGTATCCAGGGATCCACACAACAGTCAAGGAGCATTTTCAGGTTCCTGCATTCTATGGTTTGGTGTTTTGAAAGCACCGGTTCCTTCGAATACGGTTTCAAGGAGAACCGGTAGTTTGGGCTGGTTCCGGTTCTCAAGAAAGTAGTAACGGAAATGGGCCCCATCCAAATAGGTTTACAAAACATTTCTCAAAAGTAGCAGATGCACGTACATACGAAATAGAAATGTTTCTTTCTTTCTTCTGACACACAGATAGAATCATCTGACAAAACGCAAGCCGTTCTTACGAAATAAAAATTATTTTAATAGTTCACACTTCCCCTTCTTAATCAGTAAATAATTAGCTACCTAACCGTTTTCTATTATTATCATAAAATTTTCCATATACTAGAAAAAATTTAATTTGCTAGAAAAAATTTAAAATAAATGACTTGGAGCCGTTTTTTCATTCGATATAGGTTTATTTATCTCCTTCATAATTGCAGTAGAGGTTAATGATTTAGTAGCTACAAAAGTACCCGATATCTTCTAAAAGAATCGATACCGAAGTACTTTACTCGATATCTTCCCCATATCTATTTTTAATAAGTCAAAGTGTATACCGCGCCATCTATGTGTTAAGTACGCATTGTTTGACTGGTACATGTTTTTTGCTATGTATTCGGTATCAACCACAGTGGCGCTCAAACTACGAAAGTGAATTTTTAGTTTAATGGCTATAAAACTGTTATCAATTTTTAATTTGGTCTCGATACCAGTGGGATTGAAAAATCACAACAAAAAAAAACACGTTAAAGTTTCTTCATTACGAATTTAATAATGCAGACTTTTCCNTGGTACATGTTTTTTGCTATGTATTCGGTATCAACCACAGTGGCGCTCAAACTACGAAAGTGAATTTTTAGTTTAATGGCTATAAAACTGTTATCAATTTTTAATTTGATCTCGATGCCAGTGGGATTGAAAAGTCACAACAAAAAAAAAACACGTTAAAGTTTCTTCATTACGAATTTAATAATGCAGACTTTTCAAATTCAGTCTTGCACTTCAATATTGAATATTTAAATATGCATTCATAAGTGGTTTATCTAAAACAGCGATGGGCAGAGAGAACTTTTACTCCACATGCCCCTACATAAAATGTGTAGAAAGCTTAAAAAGAGCTTTGCCTGCGAGCAAGACGGTGCCCATCACCGATCTAAAACAACACGATTAAACTTGCACTGAAGAAGTAACATATCCCGGAAAGAAACACTGTTTTACATTCTACTTTAGATATATAATACATAGATTTGTACATATCTTCTTACTTTGATTTTAATTCCTCGGCTTTTTTTTTATCAAAATTTCGTACTCAACTCGACGAATGCACTGATTGAACTGTGACCTTTGTGAATGGAAATCCGCTTTTTATACCCAGCGGTGGGCTATCTGCTGCCAGCATTAAAAATGGTGATATGGCCTGTAGTCCCAAACTGAAACACTTTCACACATGCCCATATGGAAAATAATCTTTTTTTGCTTAACCAAGAAGAACAGTGATTATTTAGCCAACTATTGTTTCAGAAGAAAGTTACCCCAAACGTAGCTTTTAAATGGGAGGTACGAAAGAACATCCCACAAGCGCACACACACATACATACTTACATACACATTTGCAAAGAAGCAAATTGCATAGGTGGTTTATGGGCGAGTGAGTGAATTGAATGAATTTGTTGATTAAAATTACCACTTACGGATGTTTAGCATGATGAGCAACAAGTGTTAAAGGATGCTGCAGGTCATTGTGAAGGAGTTAAGCCGTTAATACATGCAAAAAAAAAATCGTGAAATGTGCATACATATGTACATTAGAGTGGTCCAATTATTGTATGGGGGGGAAAAATGTCATCCTAGAAAACGGGGCAACCCCTCAGTTTTTTTTTTCCTTTTGATATTTGTAATTTCTATACCAACTTTCAATTTTCTACCGTAACCAATACAGGGTGCTCAATGACCTTGAAATGCGCTTCCGGATCGCTTTGTAACTGTCAAAAATATTGGTGATTTTTATAAAAAGCTACTGCTGCCATGACAACTGAAGCTTGTGATTTCTTTTAGATATGTAATTTAAATTTGAAATGTTCTTAGGTCACTTAGCCAATTGTTTGATTAATATGGCTGTGTTTCTTTATACATTCCGGATAATCCCATTTCGCAGCCGGAATAAACAGAATGGGTTTGAAATATACGTTAACATATCATCAGGAATGTTCTAAAGAATAAATAAACAAAAAAGTTTATTCCACACGTTCAGAATGAATAAAGAAATTTAGCCTATGTGTACACAATACTTCTAGAGTAAAATATGAGCATCCTCTAAAATTATACTTAGAAACGTAAAGTTTGGTGTCAGCACCTTTTTCGGCAAGAGGAAAAATTTCGGAAGGTGCCCCAAGCCCTATCTAGGAAACATATTTTTTGGACCACTCTAATGTACATACATACATATTGTATGTGTTTTTGTATTTAGCTGCGTGGAATTCTTCGCATAAAATGCTAAAACTTAAAAGGAACAAGGAAAGGATGTAGTGAAGTTGAGACAAGGAGTGAAATAAAAATAAAGCAAAGAATTTAACAAAAAAGAAAAAAAAAACTTATTTACTTACCTAACCCTTGCTCAGTAATGTTGCTTATTTCGATTATAGACTAGTTATTTCAAAATCGGGGTTGTCGTGGGCAGCATTCCCATTCGTAACTTCTGGAGGTGTCTGCTTTTTCTCATTTTTATTCCGGCGCAAAATTATGTAGCAAAGCCTGAAATACAACCATTTATACATATGTAAATGTCAGATTTTTTGAGTACATTTGAAGTTAAAAAAAAATTATTAGAAAACTCCTTAAAGTCATTCTATTCTTTTTTCGAAATTATTTGTTTACAGATTTTTAAAAAAATGTGCCTTTTTAAAAAAGTTCTTTGCACTAATTTGTGATCGCCCTTACGTTTTCAAAGAAGCAGCGCGAAGATGAAAGCAAAATGGCGTAACTATAGGATGTTCTTCGTTTTGACATCTGAAGTACCAAAAAGCAATAACAAAATACACGGGGTTTTTTACTTATATATGCTTGCTTTCACCTTATATGAGCACCTTGATTGGAAATACATACTGTATTGGATCTACACTTAACCTCCCATCAAATGCCAATAAGAAAGCAATCAATTGAATTAACACGACGTACACAGTGGGAAAAATCATTTTAATTTAAAAAAAGCTGCAGTCTTCAAATCTCAGCCGATTTCGATTAAAATGCTCGTTATTAATTTTACTTCCAAGACGTAGTGGGCCTTTTTTGAATAGTAAAAAAACAAAACTTATAAAATTAAACCAGGTTAAAGGCTCTAGCTCCACTGGTCACTAATAGAGTGTAGGCGGCTTGACACTTCGGTCTGGTGTCATCTTGATGGCCCAGTTTGAGCACATCCGCTCCCTACCCTAGCTCTCTAGGAGATTTATCTTTAGAAAAAATGCTGTGAAGAGTAGAGGGCATAATAGACTAGAGCCTTTATTTGGGTTAAATTTGTGTTTTTTTTCGCTACTATGTATTTGAAAGAAAGTCCAGTACCTGTTAAAAGTACAACTAAAAACGAACTTGAAAAAGAACGATAGGCCGTTTTCAACACAATTGGGGGGCAGGCCACAGTGATATCGCAGGAAATTGCGTGCTAGCCAGGAAAGGCATATGTGTAGACTAATTGACTACTCTGGGAGAGATATAGCTCCTATAATTTCACCGAAGGCTGGGCAAAAACCATACGTTGTCCGAGCGTGGAACGTAGGCGTTCAAGGCTTCCAAAAGATTTAACTCTCAATTCTCATGGGTGCATTGACAGGACATTGTCCAATTGGGAGTCATGTTGTGAGACTAATAGGCGGCATACACGGTGCGTCTGACTCGTGAGTCATTTGTGTACCTGTTGAATCGCCTTTCGACTACACACAGTTGAGTCCTTCAGAGTCATGCCAGAGTTATGTTGGTGTATGGTGCCTATTAATAAAACAGTAGAGCCTCTCTTTCGAAGTTGCTTTGAGAACGGTAAGGGTGAAACATCTTAGTATTATCTAAGTATCTAGGCGATCACAAATTAGTCTAAAAACTAAACTATTTGCTAAAAATAAGCATAAATTAACTTACACAAATACCAGCACGTTAGGTATGTAAAATATTTCACCAAATAGGAAAATAGCGCCCGGAAAGCTTTCCACGGTATCCTGGTATATGGCACTAAATATTGGTGGGAATATAAACTGTCCAATTGGCTCACTAATGCCAAATATCGAATACATTTTACCTGCAAAATGAATGGTTAACATAAAAAATATTTCTGTAATTCCCGTTGACAATTGAAGCTTACTTAATTCCTCGCCATCAACAATGCTGGAACCGATTGTTTTAATAGCAATTACGCGTAAACTCACGAACATATCAACAACACCAGCAACATAGAAGGACTTTGTATCCTTGGCGAAAGCCTGAAAAGTTTAATAGAGCGTTTAACATATCTCATACTGTATTTAAATACCAAATAAGTGGACTTACAAATAAAATACGGGATATAACAATGGCCACAGCTGATAAAATGCCAATAGTGGAGTCAGCAAATTTCAATAATTTACTAAGTATAGCGGTGCCGATGAAAGTACCTGGGGAAAAATAAGATATCTTAAATGCATAAGTATTTTACGAATATGTATATTAGGGTAGTGCAAAAATGCATGTGAAAAAGTAAAGTCGGAATTTTTATTTTTAGGAGGTGACCGTGTAGGATTGTTCTATACCGAAAAAATATACCCCAATTTTTTTATTTTGAAATCAAAAATATTTAGTGATTGCTCAGATGTTTTCCATGTATTTATATGGAAAAAACATCTTTTCGTAAAATGGTATAGAATTCTTTAAAAACAATATTTTTCGATCGGAAAACTCCGCTTCTCTGCGGAGATTCCTATAATAATACAATTATTTATTTAACCATTTTTCTGACCTTACTTTTTTTTGGCCACCCTAATTACACTACTCTTGAGAAAAACTCATAATCTTCTTTCTAAAGAAAGCACGAGGAAAAATTTGACGTAGGATGGAATAAAAAAGCCAACTTTAGATATACAATGTACATATAACTTTTAGGACCTCCTTAATTCCATATTCCATATTCATATTCAATTTACCTATTAATGCAGCTGCTGAGGAAAATGTGAAGAAAAAGCTGAAATCATTGCCATTCCAATTCAATTTGATCAGCGTGTAACGATACCAATAATCGTTCTCTCCTGCAATTAGTTAAAACCAAGTTTCATTTAAAAATTTTTTTCCGCTCGAATATCTGACGCCAATCACACCTGATACGGGTCCAAGCGTTAGAAAATAGGCAATGATTAATAAAATCAGCAGCATTCTTCCATGATTGGGGCGTTTTATTAACGGAAATTTTATGCAATCTATCACTAAAGTTGGATCGAAAAATTCACGCAGGAAGGAACGTCGCACTGGCGCTACACTTTCTGAATTTGACAATTGTGCCGACTTATCGGCTGGCTGTAAGCGCGAATTCAATTCAAAGCTGAGGTTTTTCACTCTATCCACTTCATCAGTACCCGTTTGGTCATAAGCCAAATTATCACTGCCGGCGCGAAGTGATGGCGGTCCATGTGCAGGCAATGGCGGCGGAACATCTTCGACTTTAGCTTTAGGTGCAGGTTTGACCTCTTTGATAAAGAAAATGATGTAGAGTATTGCGATTATTTGAAATGAGGCAGCCATTCCAAAGGAAACTGAAAATAAACAAGTACAAGAAGGATAACATAACCTATTGATCAAAACTGAGTGCGTGGGGATTTTTTTTTTTTTAATATTCACAGTATTTTTCTGGTTTGTTAATTTGTTATAAAAATATTGTTCATGCTATATATTTCCAAAACCATATAAATTAATGGGGATATTCTCTAAGTCTTGCAGGGTGTACGCATGGTGCTTAGGGAATACACCTGATGTTTCAAACGCAATACAAAATTTAGAAAAAACAAATTTTCATTGGCAAACAAATATTAAATATTAACGCGATTTCTTAGCTGTTTCAAATATGTACTTAAATTTCATAGGCTATAAAACTGCATTTCCAATTTTCAAAAATTAAGATTGAAAGTTTCGAAATTTTGATGAAAATTTTTTGGATTTTGGATGAAATTTTTTTTAATTTTGTATAAAGTTTTAATCATTGATTTATGTATATGATTTTTGTAAGATCATGAAAACCAATTTTATAAAAACAGCAAAAATTTTGATCTAAAAAATGTTGTGAATATTAAAAAAACAATCGCTCAGTTTTGCGTACATGTAAATTGGGGTGATCTAAAAAAAAAATCGGAAAAATCGACTTTTTAGATTTTTCTCGCTGCCACCCCAAAACTGTAGAATTTTGAAAATAAGGAGACCTGTATTATAAGTTTGTTCCCATAACGGTTGTTTGTAACAGCCTAAAGAAACCGAGATAGACATCGACAAATATGTACATACCTACATATATATCAAAATCCTCAGAATGAATAGAGAAGTCGATGAAGCCATGTCTGTCCGTCTGTCTCTCTATCTATTGGTGTTCACGATAGCGCAAAGAAACATGGAGATATCTCAACCACATTTGGTATAATCATCATCCAAGTTATATAGGTTGGTATTGAAAATGGGAGAAATCGTCGTAGGGTCATCACGCCCACCTTCCATATAACGGCATTTTCGAAAAATGCAAAACTAGAAAGGAAGTATTTATTGGGTACCGATCTTTTTTTTTTTTTTTTTTTTTTAAGTACTGAGTACGAAAACTCACCACAACACTAAGAACTTGCTTACGAACACATAAAATAACAGATTTTTGGAGGGAAATATTTTTATTTAATTTAAAAATATTTGTTTTATCGATTCTATAGCAATTTTAGGGAAAATTGTATTTTCCTCAACTCCAAAAAGCTTCGAAGCACCGGCGGCACGGTTAAATATTAACAAATTTCAAAATATAAAAAAAAAAATATACGGGTCTACTTATTTTTGATATTCTTAAATTTTGGGGAATGGCTGCAAAAAAAAGTTGAACCACCCAAATATACAAAAAACATATGTATGAGCAAATCTTACAAGTGTGGAGGCACAGTTCTCTTAGAAAATGCATTGTCTTCAGTTTTGTATAAAGAAAGATTCCAACGCTAAATTGTAATTAAATTAACATTTTAAAAAGATGCAATAAAAATGTAAAAAGAACCATTCGGCTCGTATTTATATCCGTAGTTGCGTATGTAACGTATACGCCCCGTAGCACCACACGCAGTAAAAGTGGTTAATAGTAGCCCTGAAACATCGTCTGTACATTAGCTTAAATTTTTCTATTCTTTTTTGTTTGTTCTTTTTTCTACCGAGAGAAGAGAGTGCCGCTAAAAAACAACTCCAACTCGTGAGATTTGCTCATGTGTATTTACTGTATGTGTTTGTGTAAATTGTAAAAACAAAATGTCGCTTACAAATATAGCCCAGCTGTTGAAATAGAAAACCACTTATCGGTTGGCCGATGAAAGGTACGGCTGTTACAAACATTGCAAAAATACCAAATCTAAAAAAGAATATAAATTAAGTATTACATCTCTTCATACTTACTTATGTATACAGTGAGTAGAAATGTACAATGACAAATCACCTGAATATACGATCCTCCTCCGGTGTTGCTATCGTTATATAACTATAGACAGCCATCAAACAAAATGTAAGTCCACCGAATAAGGCTGGAACAATCGCCTCACAGTATGCACCGAATTCCATTGGCAGAGAGTCGAAAAAGATCGCCGAAATAAGCAAACCTTTGGAAATAAATACACATGTATGTATGTATGTATTTATGTACATGTGTATGCATTTATATTTCAATTGGCCAGTTGTTGTGAAATAAACACATATTCATACATACATATATACGTATGTACACAATTTGTAGAAAGAATCAAGTAAACTTACATGTAAAGGAGAAAAATTCGCCAACAATGGGCATAATCATACATGGCTTGCGTTTGTTGTAACGATCGGACCAGCCACCAGCAAAAAGGAGAACAATCAATGGAAAGATGGCGGCTAAAAAGAGTTCATATAAATAGTGGGAACTTATATAGTCTTTCTACTAATACTTAAAAAAACTCGTAAAGCAAATGTAGTGAAAAAACACCTAATTCTGAAAATTTCTAAATATTTATGTACGTATATTTCCTAAAAAAAAATAACAAAAGTAAAATACTGATGGCTTTGAACAATTGTATGTGTGTTTTATTTATAGATAGAGCAACCCTTTATTCGTTTACGCTTACTCTATATTCCTGCAACATATTTGAGGTACGTGGAAGTATAGAAATTTTTTTGAATTTGGTTAGGAACCACTGCTCTAGAGCATACGCTCAGCACTTCGCACTTAAGGCAAGCAGGAGCTAATAAGAAAGTAAGTATGTTGGTATGTAGCTATTCTAATTAGTAATTATGATTATTATTATTTTTTTTAATAAAGATATTGATCTGGCAGCAACTGCGAAAAGGAGGGACCTGCCAGAAACAGTTAGAAAATCGCTGCGAGCCTGAAAAGTTTGGTAAGTGTTAGTCCCTGCAGGAAATGTATCTCACTATAAGATAATTAGGAAGAAACTAAAGGTCTTATCTGCTTTCATATAACGAATAACCAAAATTTCTGTAGAAGAAACCCATAACATCTTCGATACAAAAAAAGGGTAATTTTTATCCGCTTGAAACTTGTACTTTACAAAACTACATACTCAAAATCTTCAAAAAAAAAAAGGTCGACATTTTTTTAATAATGCACAAAGTTTGAAATTTGGGTTTGCACGGGTTTTGTTAAAGAATGAGCTATATTTTTATTAAAAAAAATAACTAAAATTGAATAACAAAAAAAGAAATAATATCCTAAGACTTCGCAATATGTGGTGCGACCCTGTATAAATAAATTAATGTTCAGTTTACAACAGCCACACTTACGCTGAAAAGTGAAGTCTATCGAATGCTTTGCCATCACTAACAAATCCAGTTCAATAAGATAATTACTTTATAGTGTATTTAAATCAATAAAAACAGCATGCTATAGTAGTAAATTCCTCTAGTAAATAAGCATCTTCCAACTGAAAACATTCATTCATCGGATTGCTTAGAAACTTACACACACATACAAATATACACATACTCGTACATACATACATACATATGTAGTAATGTTTTTTGAAAGAAAGGTCGATTAAAACAAACGTTGATCAATTTGTTTGTATAATTAAAAAAAAAACAAAAAGAATAAGCAAATAAGCTTTCAGTTGTGAAAAAAAACTTGTTTGATACTCGAAAATTTACTAAACACATAACTACAAGTTACTAAAAGAACCAGTTTTCAACCGTGATTTGAAGATTTCCAATTCTGAAGATGAGTTCGCAAGTATTACATACATACATGCATGAAAAGCGGCAAAAACTACGATTATTATTAGTAGAAAAAAAACTTATGAGCAATTATTGCCTTTATTGGCGATTTAGTAATTGGATTTTTTTTATCAATAGATCAACAATATGCTAGCACGACAACAAATTATTAGATATGGCCATTTATATCTTCGGTATGCTCGAATACCCATGGGCTTCGATAGTTCAAAAGGAAATAATAATGATTTTGTAAGTTAAAAAATTTTGGTATTCACAACGGTGCACAGTGGTCTGAGAGTGGCAGAAAGTCGTAAGTTTCGAAATGTTTCGAAATGTGCAACTAAATGGAGAAGATACTAGGCATGTCGTCTACCAATACGTTTTAGTAATTTTTTCTGCGAAAAATTGCAATAGCAGCATTCAAAGGAATCATATTTTTACGAAAAAATTCTAATGCACATTTTACGGCATTAACAAGGGTAGTTTCTATCTTTAATGCAAAGTAAAATGGTACACAAGGGTTGCTACATAAAAGGCTTGTTCCAGTTGCAATCACAGCCGCAGTGTTGCGCGAATTATTAAAGCATCACGTTCTGTGTGAATTTCTAGCAACGTATTTTCACATATATTTTGGGCTGTTGCAACTGTGTTGCAAATTTTCATCAGTACGACAGTAATGCCGCTTTTACTAATCAATTTCCAATTCAAAAAATGTTGGCAATAAATGAAAACTTCAGGGGTCTTCACATCCNCATATATTTTGGGCTGTTGCAACTGTGTTGCAAATTTTCATCAGTACGACAGTAATGCCGCTTTTACTAATCAATTTCCAATTCAAAAAATGTTGGCAATAAATGAAAACTTCAGGGGTCTTCACATCCATTT